ATTATTTTTTGCAGTCCACCATTTTTGTTTTGTTTTTATAACACACACAAACATACAGTTGATTTGTCGATATTATATGTGGTCGATTTAGTTTTTTTTTCGGTGATCACTTTTGATCAATGAAGAAAAACTTTTTCTTTCTTTTTCTTCAATTCATTGTCGCCCGTTTAATATATTTTCGTTCGATATTTTCATTCAATCGTCAAGGCTTTTTGCCTTTTTTTCTATGTCTTGTTTTCTCCATTTGTGTGGCCACCATTACTTTTTTGTCGTTATCGTTATTGTTATTATCGTTTTATCGTTCACAATCGATCATAATCGATATTTTTATTAAATGTGTGTGTGTGTGTGGTGATGGTGGTCGGATATTGGATCTTTTTGTATCTGGTTCATTCACTTGTTTTGTTTATACGATGCAAGTTTATCATTGAATACGAATTCACATTGAAAACAATATATATATGATTAGAAAAGGAAAAGAACAAAAGAAAATTAAAATTACCACTAAAATCACTTAACGATAATCGATAATAATTACAATGATAATCGTATTGCATAATTTATTTTGTTGTTGTTGTTGTTGATATTGTTATTCACTGGCTAACATTTAAATTCCAGTCAAATCATAATATATATAAAAAATACAAGCTTTTGGATATAAAGAGAAAAAAACTACTATCACAACACAACAACAACAACAACAACAACAAATCAATCAATTTAATTCGATCAGATTGATTTTGATCAACACAACCAAAAGAAAAAAAAATCGAAAGATGAGCAACGAATGAAAAAAAATCCAATATAGCAAATAGTTATTTGGGATCGGTTTGATGATTATCAATCTGATTTGATCTGGTTTGTGTGCCAAAACAACAGACGACGACAACAACAACAACGTCGACGACAACAAACTTGACTTTGTATCTTTCATTTTGGGTTTTTTATTATTATTAGTTTGAAATGTAGAGATGATGATGAAAACAGAAACGGAATTCTATTCTCTCTATGTGTTGTGTGTGTGTGTTTATTCTTTGTGATTGATTCATTTTTTTTTTCATTATTTTTATCATTCTGGAGAAACTTTTTTTTTTGCTCACCCAAATTCATTTAGTTTTATTTTTTGCTCAGCTATTTTGCTGATACTAGCCCATATTATGTATATATAGTCGTTCTTTTTTTTCATTATCATTATCATCATCATTTTTTGTTATCAGCAAGTAATCTGATGCCAAATTTTTTTCCCGTTGTTGTTGTTGTTTGTTGTTTGTTTGCATCCAAGCTATCTTCACTTACACACACACACACACACACATTTTTTTGTTGTTGTTGTTGTTCATTTTGCGGATGTTATTAATTGTATTCTTTTTTTTGTTCAATGTTGTCGCTCATCATCATCTGTTGTCCCTATTTATGTTCAATGTTATTATTATCAATTTCAACAGAATCACAAATAATGTGAGCTGTGTTTGTATCGATATTTTCTCTGTCTCTCTCTTTCCATCCTATTTGATATATGTTGATATGTTGATGAGTCGAAGATGTTTTCCAAAAAACAAAAAACAAGAATGATGGAGAAACACAAGCAGATGATTTTTGACTATTAAATATTAGATTGGATGAAATCTGGTTTGTTTTTTTTTGTTTAATTTGAAAAAAATTAAATTCCAATTTTCAACAACATCAATAACAAAATAAAAACATCATCATATTCAAATGATGTTGATGATGATGATGAGATAGATAGAATTTTTTCAAGCATCTAAATTCCAGAAACAAAAAGCAAAATTCACTAAAAAACGAAACGAAACGAAACAGAAAAGTTTACTTGTGATGTAAACAACAACAAAAAACAAAAACGAAAAAAATGATGAATAAGGTTGAAAACTTGAACATTCCTTGCCATCAACATGAATATATTCTGTTTGTTCATTCTCATCATCATTATTCTAGGTTCAAAGTTTATTATTATTATTATTGTTGTTGTTGATGGTAACATATCCGAAACAAACAAACAAACAAAAAAAACTATAAAGTAAGCAAAATATTCTTGTCTTGTGCATCATCATCATCATCATCATCATGATATGAAATAAAAAATTCCAATGAAAGTTTAGATTTTGTCATCATCATACATATGTTGTGTTAGATATTGTCATTCATTCATTCATTCATTTTTTTTTGTTTTGTTTGTTGTTGTTAATATTCAAATCGATTAAAAAAAGTATTCCATACAAACAAATTTCAAAGTTTTATTCAAAAAAAATAAAGTTGAAGAAGGAATGTTTACTAATAAACAAAAAAAAAATTTCAAATTTATTTTTTTTTCTATTTTCCCCATTTGAAAAGTTTCAATCATACAAACTTCAAACCAGGAAAAAAACGAGAATAGCATCATTGGTGTTGGTGGTGGTGGTGGTGGTTGTCTTTTGGAAATTAGTTTCCATCATCATCATCATCATCATCATCAGTTATCATTACACATCATCATCATCATTTGTCGTTTTAATTACCCCCAAAATGATGTTGATGATAATGATAATGATGAGCATCTTTAGTATCATCATCATTATCATTATTTCTGGTTTTAGTTTTTCAATTCTTTCCTATTTTATATAATAGTTTGGTAACAACGGTGTTGATAATCGTTTCATTATCAACTTTATCATTATCATCATGATAATAATGATAATGATCATTATTATCATCATCATGATCATTATAATTAAAGATGTTTATTAACAATTTTGGTTGAGGCCTATCATCATTTGAAAGTTTTTTATTTTTTTTTCTTTCTCTCAGTCTCTTGTTTTGATTGTCACCAAGAATGAAAAAAAAATTCCTGTGTTTTGTTTCGAATTTTCGGAAACTTTGACGAAAAGCAAAACAAAACAATAATGAAATGAAATTGATCCAGACAAACAAAACAAAAACCGAAAGAGAAAAACATATTTTGACACTTTGTATATGTGGAACTTTTTTTTTCAATTTTTTTTTCATTTGGCATTTGTGTTGTGTGATTGTGTGATTATTTTTGGTTATCCTGGGTAAACAAACAAACAAACAAAAGGAAAAAAAATTCCCAAAAAAAAATTCTTGCGTTTTCGAAAAAAATTTTCCCCGAATTTTTTTCCCCATTTAAAATGATGATTGGTTGTAATGTGATTGTGTATGAGGGAAAGAACCAAAAAAATGAAATGAAATCAGATTTTGTTGTTGTCCACATCAATTGGTTTGAAATTTTTTTATTATTTCCCCCCATTATTCTAGTCATCATCATCATCCACCAACGAATGAAAGAATTATTGACATTTTTGTATGTGTGTGTGTCGATTTCACATCAAAAGATTTTTGTTTGTTTGTTACTTTTGTTGTTTTGATCGTTTTCATTTTTCAATTATAATCATCGATCAATCGATCGATCAATTGATCGAATTGTTTTGTTGAAAACAAAATGAAACAAACCACCCATTCAAGCAATTTTTTTTCAGTCAGAAATTTTCTAATTTCTTAAAGTTTCAAACCAAAAAAATGGATATCTTTTCTTTTCTTCATTTCTTTTGCTTAATTAATCTATCCAACAACAAAAATAACATCGTTGTCAAGGAGTTACAACACACACATATATCCATCCACCCATCCACCCACTCACATATAAACACACAAACAAATAATTAGTTGGTTGCCAATCAATTTTAAAAACGATAATGATGTAAAAACGATTGATCAGTTTCAATTTATTTTTATTTTTTTTGTTTGGATATATATTGTGTTTGAATCACAAAGAATTTATGATTCACGAATCACACACATGGATAAATGAATGGAACAACAACAACAACCGACAAAAACGAAAATATCCAATTAAATGTTATACAGTTGTTGTTAACCAAGTTATGTATGGCAATAATCGAAAGAAAATGAAAAGAAAAGAAAATGAAAGAATTTTCATTTCGTTTGTTCTGATTGATTTTTTGTTGTTGTTTTTTTTTTCTTTTTTTTTTTGGTTGATTCCAAATTGAACCGGAAATTTGAATTATTTGATCTAGGCAACAATTGATAGTGAAAATTATTTCCTTTTTTTTCGTTGTTGTTGTTGTTGTTGTTGTTATTTCTCACTTATCAAACCACCAACCAAAGCACCTATCAGTTATTATCAATCAAATACTATAGCTGTAAATAATAGAATGTTTTATTTCCTTTTTTTGTTCTGTTTACCGTACACAAACAACGTAAGAATATTGTGTTTCTAATATATGAATTCTGTTATTCTCGTTTTTTTTTTCATTCTTTCTTATCAGATAAATTTTTCTTCCAATCATCATCATCATCTTTATCATCATCCATTATAATCATGAATATTGATTATCAAAAAAATGAAAAAAATTTAAAAATTTGTTAAAATTAATTAATGAAAAATTATGTTTAAAATAATAATAATAATAATAATTAATCAATCATCATTAATCAATCAAAAATTTAAAAATTTTTATCAAAAAATATTTATAATCATTTTGAAAAATGATAAAAATATTATGTTAACATTATCATCATTAAAATTATTATTATTATTATTATTGTTGGTTAATGAAAAACGGAAAAAATTATTAAATCAAAATCAACAATCACAACAACAACAACGACAACAAAATTTTAAAAAATATTGTTCAATCTATAATCATCAATATTATCGAAATTTTTTTGAAAAATATTCAAATCATCATTATCATTATGATTATTGTTGTTGCTGTTACTGTTATTGCCATCATTATCCACCATATAGAATTATAGTTGTTGTATTAAAATTCTATGATGATGATGATGATGATTTTATTCAAATATTACCAAGTGCCAATTATAAACAACAACAACTACGACAAACAGACGATGATAATTGCCAGATATTAATCAGATAATAATCGTCCATAAATTTATATTTTCAACAACAACAACAAAAAAAAATTAACAAAATGTCAATATCATCATCATCATCATTATCAGTCACGACAAAAACAAAAACGAATCCAAATAGCCAAATAGTAAAATAGCTTAATAGCTATTTAAACAACAAAAAAAATAAGAAAATAAAATAAAATGTTAGGCCGTAAACAATCGTTACGCCAAACGGTAACATCCGGTTTGGCAACAACTGCGGCCAATATAATGGGTACTGGTCCACCAGTTGTTATCGGAAATCTTGGCGTAAATGTTGGTCCTGGTGGTGGTTCAAGTAGTCAAGGTAATACAACTAGTGGACCTGGTGGTGGTATTGGTATGATACAAGATGGTCCATCATCAGGTGTTGGTGGTATTATCGGTGGCCTTGGCGGTCTAGGTATGGCCGGTGAATTAGAAGAATGTATCCGTGCCCGTACACTTTGGTGGGAATCACAATTAGTACGACGTTTTATGCGATTTTGCGCCTTATTATCATTGGTTTCCGTTTCGATGAATACGCCCTATACATTTAGCCAAATGCCCTCATTATTATACATCACATTTGTGATCGATATACTCGTTACGTTTGCTTTTTCCATTGAATTTATTTCAAAAGTACGTATACGTGGTGCACGAACATATTTTCATGATCGTTGGTCACAATTCGATATAACCATGTTGATCTGTTTGATTTGTTCGTTGATATTGCATATTTTTGAAATAACCGGTATGTTTGATTCAATAATGTTGAAATAAATATAATTTTTTTTTGTTCCGTTCCCTATGAAGGATATGTGGAAGAATTTTCACCATTGTCAATGATACGAGCACCACGGCCATTAATAATGGTCCGTGTTGTACGTGTATTTTTATCATTTTCAATGCCACGTGCTCGTATAACGCAGATATTTTTACGTTCATCACAGCAGATATATAATGTAACATTGTTCTTTGTATTTTTCATGTCATTATTCGGTCTACTTGGTGTACAATTTTTCTCTTCGCTCAATCATCATTGTGTTTTAATTGATAATTATACGGAATTCTTTCAACCATCCATTCATATGTTAGCCATACCGGATACATATTGTTCGCCTGAAGATTCACATGGTCATCAATGTCCACCGGAAATGGTTTGCGTTGAGATACATAATTCAAGCGGTTATGCTGGATTTGATAATTTAGCACATGCATTGTTCACAGTTTACCAGAGTGCCTCACAAGAAGGATGGTCGCATGTGATGTACCAGGCAATGGACTCACTCGACTTTTTCCGTTCAGCCATTTATTTCGTTACGTTAATATTTTTTCTGGCCTGGCTAGTCAAAAATGTGTTCATTGCCGTCATCACTGAAACATTCAATGAAATTCGTGTACAATTTCAACAAATGTGGGGTGAACGGGCACAAATTGTTACACAAACCATACAGCTAGTATTGGTCGGTGATGATAAATGGAAATTAGTTCAATTGACAGATTCGGATGCTCGAACACGTGCACCACATCTGATACGTCATTTATTGGGTACAGCATCATTTCAAATATTTGTTATGGTTATGATTGTTGTCAATGCAATTATTAATGCTAGTATTAAATTTGATCATTCGGGTAAATCACGTGATGATTATTATCGTACAATTTATCCATCCGAAGTATTTTTCACCATATTTTTTGATATCGAAGTTATGGCAAAGGTATGTTAATTATCAGATTAATTTGATAATGATTGTTTTATTGATATTATTTTTACTACATGAAAAAAAATAGATATGGTGTTATGGTCTACGTACATATGTTCGTCGATCATTACATAAATTGGAATTATTATTAGCAATCGGATCATCGATACATGTATTACCACCATTATATATGACATCGCCATTAGTTTATTTTCAAGTATTACGTATCGTACGATTAATCAAAGCATCACCAGTGTTGGAAGATTTTGTTTATAAAATATTTGGACCGGGTAAAAAATTAGGTTCATTAATTATATTCACTATGTGCCTTCTAATTGTTACATCATCAATATCAATGCAATTATTTTGTTGTTTTCCTGGTTATAATAAATTTCAATCATTTCCCGAGGTATGTGTTTTTAATTCAAAAAAAACAAACAAAATCCCTCTTTTCTGTTATTTATTTATTTGATTTTATTAATTTTCTAACCATGTTCGTTTTTTTTTCACTCATGATAAATCTTTTCTTGTTATTCTTTTGAAAAAAAAATCAACAAACAAACCAAATCAATCAATCGATCAGGCATTCATGTCAATGTTTCAGATTCTTACGCAAGAAGGTTGGACCGAAGTAATGAATGAAACAATATTACGTTCTGGTGCTAAAATTGGTCCATTGGTTGCCATTTATTTTATTCTTTATCATCTATTCGTATCATTGGTAATGTAGAATTTTTTTGTTTTTTAATTTCGAAAAAACCAAACATCATGATCATTGATAAATGTTTTGCTTTTTTGTTTTTATTTTGTTTAGATTGTGTTATCACTTTTCGTCGCTGTCATTCTTGATAATCTTGAGTTAGATGAAGATATTAAAAAAGTAAAACAATTAAAAGCAAGAGAACAATCAGCAGGATATAATGAAGAGCTACCATTACGATTACGATTATTTGAATCGTTTCCGGATTCACCACAGATGACACGTTTACATAAACAAGCAAATGAATTTAATATACCAAAAGTTCGTGATTCATTTATGCGTGCATTTATTGATTCAACAAATGCAACATCGACGGTTATTTCGGCTACGGCTGTACCATCCGGTGCTGGTACCGTTACAGCAACGGTAACATCAACAATAACTGGAACTGGTTTACCAGCTGCTGCAACTGCTACAGGTACTGGAACATTTGCACAGAATCTTTCCAATAGTAATTTTACAACATTACCATCATCATCGATAATGATGACAGCCGCTCAAGGTGTTGGTGGTGGTGGTGGTGCTATAAATCGTCCAATGATAATGACTGCTGCCGGTAATCTAACTGCCAGCAACAAACCAATGTTGCCTTCATTATGTTCATCTGGTGGTACGAGTATTGGTGGCCTATTTTTTAGTACACGTAAACAATCATCGATTAAATTATTAAGTCCAGTATCGAAAGGTCGACATTCCAGTCCATTATTACGTCGTGTACAGGTTGCTTGTATTGTATCAGATTCAAATAATCAACGTTTATTGCTCAATGATACATCGGTCGTTGGTATTCCTGTCGTATCTGGCGGTGTGGCTAGTGGTGGTGCTGGTACTACAACAGCTACTACTTCCGGTGGTGGTGGTGGTTTCACTAGACATGGTGTGGGTTCACATGGTGTCAGTAGCCGTGGTATGAGAAGATCTGTACGTGGTAATCTTAAAGAAGAAGTTGGTACAGAAGAATCTCATTCCGGTACTGGAAATGGACCATTAGTACGTGGTCAGGATTTTGATTTTAAAATGTTACAACGTAAACAAAAACAAGCAGAAATGCGTCGTACACAACGAGAAAGTGATTTACGTGAAAATCATCCATTTTTTGATACACCATTATTGATTGTGGGACGTGAATCAAGATTTCGTATGATTTGTCAAAGTATTGTTAGTGCAAAATATGATCCACATGTTCGTGATCCGGTAACTGGTAAAGAACGTAAAATGCGTTATAAAGGTGCACATGAATTATTAGGATTAGTACCATATTGTGATTGGATAATGATTATCGTAACAACCGTATCATGTGCATCGATGATGTGTGAAACGGGTGAACATCGTATAACAAATACACCGATATTGGTAATAGCTGAATATACATTCGTATTTGCAATGGCAATCGAATTATTATTGAAAACATTAGCATATGGTCTTTTATTTACACCAAATGCCTATCTAGCTAATGTTGCCGGTGTTATGGATTTTCTTATATTCGGTATATCCGTCCTATTTCTTTGTTTATTACCGGAACAAGTACCACCACAATCATGGCAACAAACATTATATGTGATGCGTTGTATACGTCCATTACGTATATTTTCATTAGTACCACATATGCGTAAAGTTGTTTATGAATTATGTAGAGGTGTTAAAGAGATTGCACTTGTATCGGTATTATTAATTGTTTTGCTATTTGTATTCGCATCGGTTGGTGTACATATGTTTGGTGGCCTATTGGCACGTTGTAATGATCCTTGTATTAAAACTCGGGTAAGTTTTTTCATTAATAATTACTTATTTCTTACCTTTTTTCATTTCTCATATTCTCTTACAAATCAAGGAACAATGTGTCGGTGTTTTTATGCGACAAGTACACGTGACAAGAATGAAATTAGCTAATCAAAATGAAAAAATGCCTTCAATATTGGTGCCTAGAGTTTGGTAAGCATCTTTTGTTGTTGTTATTGTTGTGAAAGAAATGTATTTCTTCTTATAATTCGCAATCTGACTAAATGAGAGAAAGAAATAAAATTATAAAGATTCTTGGAAAACAAACCAGAAAAATCCAAAAATGATTGATAATAAGGAACAAAAAAAAAACAACAATAAGTAGACCAAATGTTGTTGTCACAATTAATCAGATGATGGAAATTCATTTTTTTTCTCTTTTAAACATTAATGGATAAGAAAATCTTATTAAGTGGATTTTATTTCTTTTTGTTTTTTCTTTTTGGATGGTACACTTTTATGGTAGAATTGTTTTATTGCTAATTGTCCACTTATGTACGAGAAATGATGCTATGTTATATTTATGGAAAACAAAAAAACAAAACAAGAGATATTTTTTATAATACAAAAAAAAATCAATAAATTTTCATCATATAGGTCAAATCCAAGAAATTTTAATTTTGATTCAATATCAAAAGCATTATTAACATTATTCGAAATGTTATCATTGGAAGGTTATAATGATTATCGTGATATAATCATTGATCAGACAGGTATTGTAAGTCAGTTTTTTTCAAGTGAATGTTGGTTTTTTTCACCAAAAAAAAAACTGAATAAATGATGCGGCTTGATAATGATGAAACATTTTTTTTATTATTTAACCATACAAAAAATTAAAATTAAATTATAATCTCATTAACCGGATTTTTAATTTTTTTTCTATTTTTTTTTCTTGCTTTCAAATCAAATCATCCGTCAATCAATTTCATTGATGCTTCCGTTCATTGTTTTTTGTTTTCAATTTTCTCATTGCTTTATGATGATGATGATAATAATGGCTGCAACTGATGAACTTTCAACATCTAACCAAAAACCAAATACAGGGCTAATCCACGTCGTTTTAATTTCGATTCACTTGGCAATGGAATATTAGCTCTATTTGAAGTATTATCATTTAAAGGCTGGCTTGATATTCGTGATGTCATCTTAGCACGGCTAACACCAGTATGAAAATGTTTTAAATTTTTTTTTTAATTTAAATTAAATTTAGCACGAAAATAATATATATTTTCAATGCATGATAAAATAGTTGTTGCTTTATCATATATATTTTTTTTAAATTAAACGAAATAAAATTCAAATTAAAATTTTTCTTTGTTTTTTTCATGGATTATAGTTACATGCAATCTATATACATGTTTTTGTATTTCTTGGCTGTATGATTGGTTTAACATTATTTGTTGGTGTTGTTATTGCTAATTATGGTGAAAATAAAGGTACAGCATTATTGACCGTTGATCAACGTCGTTGGTGTGATCTAAAAAAACGTTTAAAGATTGCTCAACCATTACATTTACCACCACGTCCTGATCATCATCGTGCACGTGCAATAATCTATGATATAACGCAACATATCATATTTAAACGTACAATTGCTATATTAGTATTGATTAATTCGGCATTACTATGTGTTAGTTGGGATATTAATATGGAACATACAAAACCATTGGCTAATGTTTCAGCTGCATTAACATGTGTATTTGTATTCGAGGTTTGTGTCATTAGTATTACTTTTAATTAATAATTTTGAATTCTTATTGTCAATTTTTTTTTTTGATTTAATAAAAAGGTTTTTATGAAAATGATTGCATTTACACCACGTGGTTATTGGCAATCACGTCGTAATCGTTATGATCTATTTGTTACTGTACTTGGTGTATTATGGTTAATATTACATTTTACATTTTCGAATAAAGCTTCCAATGCATTTGGTTTTATTGTGGTTATATTACGTTTTTTCACTATTACCGGTAAACATGCAACATTGAAAATGTTAATGTTAACTGTTGCCGTATCCGTTTATAAATCATTTTTCATTATAATGGGCCTATTTCTATTGATATTATGTTATGCATTAACCGGTGTCATATTATTTGGTTCAGTAAAATTTGGTGAAAATATTTCACGTCATGCTAATTTTCGGTATGTGTTTTGTTTGTTTTCTGTTGTTGAATTGAAACTTTATATTATATTTTTCCCCCTGTCTTTGTCCATCTTCAAACAAACAAAAAAAAAGAACTGCAATAACCGGTGTAATAACATTGTTTCGTATTGTAACTGGTGAAGACTGGAATAAAATTATGCATGATGCAATGTTATCACCACCATTTTGTACACCAAGTGGTGATAATTTTTGGACAACAGATTGTGGCAATTATTATGCATCATTAGCATTTTTTTGTTCATTCTATGTTTGTATCACCTATATTGTATTGAATCTATTGGTCGCTATTATTATGGAGAATTTTTCATTATTCTATTCAAATGAAGAAGATGCATTATTATCATATGCTGATATAAGAAATTTTCAAAATACATGGAATCTAGTCGATATACAACAACGTGGAATGATACCTGTATCACGTGTAAAATTTGTATTACGTTTACTTAAAGGAAGATTGGAAGTAGATCCAAATAAAGATCGTTTATTATTTAAACATATGTGTCATGAAATGGAAAGATTACATAATGGTGAAGATGTTACATTTCATGATGTACTCAATATGTTATCATATCGTTCAGTTGATATCAGGTTTGATTGATATGTCTTTTTTTTTTTGGTTTGTCATTTCTGAAAATTAATATTTTTTTCAAATATAGAAAATCATTACAATTAGAAGAATTACTTGCACGTGAAGAACTTGAATTTCTTATTGAAGAAGAAGTTGCCAAACAAACGATACGTGCATGGTTAGATCAATGCTTACGACGTATAAAAAAAGAACGACAACAACAATCATTGATACATTCATTACGTGCAACAAATGAACCATCAATGGGACAATCATCATTTTTCGGTCTTGGTACTACTGTTACCGATCTGAATAATGATCCATATGGATTAGGTGGTGATCAAATGCAACTTAAACCATTAGCAGAACAATTAGCACATCAACAACAACAAGATGCATTAGCACAGGCTAATCAAACTGATGATGAACAAACAAAACGTGATGATGCTGCTTATCAACGATTAATGATAAAATCACGTTATGGTGATGTTAAAATACCATCATTTGGACCAAAATTTCCAATGGATAATACGGCTGATGCAAGTAAATCATTATGGGATCCTGATGAATTTGGTGGCAGTAGTGGTACAAAACGTCCACATGGTTCTGCACATAAAGCTGATGTTGTTGCTGCACATCCACCAACACCCCATCCACAACCACATCAACATAAACGTGTTGAATTTCGTCATGTTGAAGAACGAAGTAAACAACAACAAAACCCATCACCATCAACATCTGGTCAAGCAACAATGATTACATCACCCGTAAATAAAACATTATTAACTGCACATGATTCTCTAAATATTGATAAAGATTTAGAATCTGTACATCCCATTATATCACCAACAACGCCAACAACAGGATCAACATCCATCCAATCTACAACTATAACAACAACAACAGCAACAAAACTTGCATCAACATTAGCAAAAGGTAAACAAATTGAAAAACTTAAAATACCATCATCAGATCCAAATGAAACTGATATCCATCATCATCCTCATACTCATCAACATTCTGGATTATTGAAAACAGCTATGCATCAACGCAGTATAAAGCAAGTAAAATTACCACCTGCATCGCCATCTGATGGTGATCATCATCATCATCGTCCAGATAATTCATTACAACATGGAAAAGATGGTACACCAAAGCATCAATCAACAACGTCTTCACAACAGCAACAGCAAATGCCTGTACGTCGTTTTCTTTCATTGCATTCATATCCACCAACATCATTATCCGGCGATCAATCAGCACAGCAACATCAAAAACCAATTAAACAGGTTAATATTGTAATACCGGCAACGACATCAACAACCAAACAGCAATCTTTACCATCTAGCCAACATCAGCAATTACAAAGTTTAGATGAAGAAAGTTCCATTGGAAATAATGGCAAAATAATTACCGATCAAGAATCTGGTCATTTAATCGATAACGATGATGATGAAGCTCATGATGATGGTGATAGTGATGATGATGATGATAATGATGGTAGTAATGGAAAGCAACGACGAAAATCCAAAACACAAATTATAACTGATTTACAGCAACCATCAGTTGGTCCATCATCGATGACATCAACAACAAATACGGTCACAATGGCAACATCAGGTGGTTTACCATTATCATCATATTCAACAACAGCAACAAAAACAACAAAAACAACTGACCAATTTCGAATGGATAGTGATAGTATTGAATCGAATACTGAATCAACAAGTTTAAATATTCAAAAATCTAATGTAAATATTCAACAACAACAACATTCATCATTAAAAACTACACAACAACCATCATCCGTTGTAACGAAAATGAATGGAACAAATAAAATACGATCATCATCATCATCATCATCGGGTACAACAATGATTCCAGTTACGACATCATCATCATCATCAACAACAACAACAAGCGTACAACAGCCATCATCATTACCACCACCACCACCACAAGCGAATAATAATAAAAAAATTAATCAAGTTCGTGCACAAATATTGGTGAATGAAGTACATGATTGGTGGCTTTTACATTTGAATTGAAATTCTTTTTCTTTTCTTTTTTGAATACATTCTGTAATTAAACATTTCATCATAATCAATTTATACAGTTATTATTATTGTTGTTGTTTTCATTGTAAATTATCCATGAAACAAGTGTATTTAAAAAAAAACACACAATAACACACTCCAGATAACGAGAGTAAGAGAAAAAATGTCAAATTCCATTTCTTTTTGTTTATATATTATATATACATAGTGAATCAAAAAAAAAAAAAAACGAAAGATCTTAACTTTTTTTTTTATTTTTTTCATTTCATCTTTTTCATTGAAATTAAATCATTAAACCAAAACCAAAAAACAAAACAAAACATAAACGTCGAAGACAATAATAGTGAAATTCTTCTCTTTCTTTTTTTTT